AATTTGATTTCAAAAACAGTGCCACCTCATAAAAAATAGAGTGGGTAAAAGAGAAAAAGTAGTGAGAATAGCCACTTTTAACAACACTATGTACTTTAATGTTGAGAAAATTGCCTAAGCCCTATGAACAAAAATCCAGGTAGCCATATGAAAGCTCTAACTATGTTTCTGACACTTGCAATACTGATGAACTGTACACCTAAGAATAACTTTATACCACAGTTTCAATTGCCGATATTAATTTATTGACTAATTAATTTAATTAATTTATTATTTATCATATATTAGTCATATTTACTATGCATGATGGCAGTACAAAGAAATATAAAATAGAAGATTTACCTGGATTCTTTAATGGTATATCCGAAAAAACCAGTGAAGTGTTTTCTGATAGAGTAATTAAAATTAGCACTATTTGTTCCAAAAATATTGACAACAAAAAACAAGAGTTTTCTTTTAACCTTAAGCTTTTAAAAGAAGATCAACACGATGCAGTTATAAACAAAAATGAAAAAGATCAACACGATGCAGTTCGAATCAAAATACGTTCTTTGATTGAATTTTTTAAAATGTGCTTGGGTGAAAGAAAAAGCTTTATATATAGTATAAGTGTATCAAAAAAAGACAAAGGGTTAATCAAGAAGTATGAAGATTTCATTAAGGAATATGAAGCATTAATCAAGAAATATGAAGAATTAATCAAGAAGTATAAGGTATCAGAAGAAGACAAAAAATTAATCAAGAAATATAAGATATCAGAAGAAGACAAAAAATTAACTGAGAAGTATATAGAATTAATCAAGAAGTATAAGATATCAGAAGAAGACAAAGAATTAATCGAGAAGTATATCAAGCATGATATCACCATATGTCAATTCATAAAATGTATTCCTGTTGCAGCTATTTCACGAGTAATAACAATAAAACTACAAGCGAATGTTAGATATATAAATCCGGACAACCTGGACGAAATAGTATTGTTTTTAGATAAAAAATTACATTCGGCAGCTGAAACTCATTATAGTCAATCTCAAGCTCAACAAAACACCACAAATAACGAACACATCGTGCCGACTAACAATTCATCTGATGGCACATTAACAGAAACAGTAGCACCTTTATTACCTCACACAAATCATTTTATCCAGCCGACAATAGCACCTGCAAACGAGGAAGCTCTAACTTACACCCAATTTAACGCAAGTATTCTGCACAAAATTAGAGATACTGCCTTAGTTATCTTGGGTTTAAAAGGCGCAAAAGCAGAAGAGCACACTATAAACATGTACATAATGCAAGCAGAAAATGATGCTAGAATATGTTTACTAGATGTAGGTTGTGTTGATCTGCAAGAAGGAACATTAGATAAAATATTTACTGACACTGTCCGTGAGTATGTAACACAGTACGAGAATGTGGTCAAGAAGGAGGCCAAGAAACATGCCAAAGACCTGGTCGAGAGAGTGTTCACTGATATATTTGATTCAGTATTTGATATTGTTTACTTGCAAGATAAAATAAAAGAACCAAATGAGAAGAAATTAGAATTACTAAAGAAATTGGGAGCTACTGATACAGCACCGGGAGACGAAAAATATTTTCAGACAGCAGTGTCTAACAAGTACAAGGAATTGCATAACTTAATGTGGCCTACACAACCTGAACCTGATCATTCACTCAAATCACCGTTAAGAAATATATTTTCTTCAAAAGACACTTATTTTTACTTATTTGCAATAACAACATCTACATCAGCTCTTTGCTTATTGCACTTTACTGCACTAGGGAAATCAGTCATGTCAGAAGAAAGTACTGGATTAATATTAAATACAGCACTACTCATATTAATAGCTATGTGTATTATAAGTCTAGCTTACGTTGCATATTCTGAATATACTGTAGAATCTGTTGAGCAGGTAGGTACAAGTAATTCAAAAAAGTTAGATGTTTAAAGGAATAATCACAGATATCGGGACCATAATTAATACCAATCCTGATCAAATTTTTTATATCAAAACAGAGAGTCTATCCTCTATAAATATGGGAGATTCTATTGCTTGTGCTGGTGTGTGTTTGACTATCGTTGATATAATGGATGATGTATTTGCAGCTCAAGTGTCCAAGGAAACTTTGAAAGCCACAAATTTAAATACGTGGAAAATAGGTACAAAAATAAACTTAGAGCAAGCCACTAAGCTTAACGATAGAATTGATGGACATTTAGTGCAGGGTCATATTGATGGAATAGTAAAGATTTTAATGATCAATCAAAACTTGAGTTCTCATGAAATAAAGCTGTTATGTCCACATGCATTAACTAAATTTATAGCAAAAAAAGGCTCTGTGACTCTAGACGGGATTTCCCTCACTGTAAATTCAATTATTAATCAAGAATTCACAGTCAATATAATTCCCTACACATGGCAAAATACAACTTTTCAGTACAGTAAAGTTAATGATTTTCTTAACCTTGAAGTTGATATCATTGCTAGATATTTAGATCGACTGTTGCAGAATTAATTTTACAATTTATAATTATCATATCTCAAAAATCATATGGGTGTAAAAATATGCTTTTCGACAGTCTAGTTATTTTTATTGTTGTTTTATGCACAATAATCTCCGTAATGCGAGGATTTATAAAAGAAATATGTGCGCTAATGTTGTTACTTTTATCAATCTTTCTTACGGTAAATCATTACGATTTTTTCACTGTAAATTATAGTAAATATCTTGATTCTAAAGTTACAATTAGTATATTATCTGCAGTTTCTGTATTCATTATACTGAATCTTATGTTTATGATAATAAATAACTGGATAATGTACATATTGTCACCAATAAGGTTGGGTTTTATGGATAGAGCTACTGGTATGTTTCTTGGTGCATTGAAAGGGATAATGTTCTCTTATGTGCTATTTTTTGCTGTGTATTTATATTGCCATATAACATCAGATGAAGATAAAACAAAAGAAGTGCTACCTATTTGGATAATAAATTCACATTCTTATCAGGTTTTATTTTCCACAGCGGAGGATACCATTGATACATATGTACCAGAGCAACTGATATTAAAGATCATAGAGATTGGTCAAGAAATAACCGTAGATAAAAAAGATTAGCCCCTGCTCTGTGTTTTATGCAGAACAAGGGCCAAAACTTCTTGCTTTGTTACATAGCTCTCAAAAAAAACAACTCTGATTGAGATAATCACTAAGTCATTTTTTACTCCTTTTGTAGTGGAGCTTAAGTATAGTTCTTTTCAAGATACAAGATCTATGATGAGAAGGGCTAGATATTAGCTATATAGTATATTGAGCTTAAGCAAATTTTAATAAATTAAAAATACAATTCATTTAGTAAATTTATTTATAAGAGGATGAAATGATAAAAGATATTTTAATTATAAATAAGACTTTAGTGAGTCTTGAGTTAGCTAATAAAGAAGATTTGGAAAATTTTATTAAGATTTTTACCGTATTCGAGAAGCATAAAGCAGCTAGCACGCTTTTTACAGATGAGGTCAAAATAGAATATGTGCAACACAACGCAATGGAAGTTGTTAAGCTACTTAAGGATACAAATTTTACATATAGTGATATTGAAAACATATTAAATCACTTGAGCAAGCATGGAATTAAAGTAACCAATAATATCATAGCACACACGCTTATAGCTGCATATGATACTGCTCTTGATTCTAGAGATATAGCTTTTTCACTTTTTGAAAACTCTCCACAATTTAATATTAAAGTGAGTAAAAACACATTTATAATCACACCTATGAGTGAATCACACCTAGAGTTGAATTCAAAAAATAGCACGGAATTCATAAAGTTATTAAAGGATGAAAAAAGTATGTATGATTGTGTAGTAAAGGAAAACAATATTGAGGTTATAGTACACTCTGAAATACACCAAACTATCAATTCGATTGTAGAATCATTAATAAAGTCTAATCTGTTAGCGAAAGTAGAAGAAGAGAAACTCAAGGCAAGATTGAGACAGCTTGCCTTTAAAGATCAAGCTTTTGTTGAATACTCTAGTATCAAGACTATCAATAAGTATCCACACGGGCATCCCCTCAGGAAACACGAAAACGTTATTAAGGGTATAGAAAATATTTTATATGATTTTATAGAAAATGAAGACAGTAAATTTGCTGTAGAACGATTAAATAGACTGCAGATTGCTCCGGACACTCCAAGAATTATCACAAAAACTATAGATAAACTTGTGAAGTTTCACTAGATAAAAAGGAGGACTATATAAAAATATATTTTTATATAAGAATAAAGTTATTGCTTTACAGT